TTTTTTTCATCAAATTAATCTATGAATAAATAATAAGATCAGTTGTTTTTGTATTTGCACATGAATTGTATTAAGATGATTAAAATTATTTTTAGGTGGTCCAGCGTTTGGTTTAGTTTGCGGTATAATTAGTGTATTTGTTTTAAATCAAATAAATAATGAACTTGAAGTTGAAATAACAATAACATTTGGTCTTGCTTATCTTATATTTTATATAGCTGATGTTGAAATTGGTGTATCAGCTGTTCTTGCTCTTGTTGCAATGGGTTTATATATGAGCAAATATAAATATTGTATTAGTAGTAATGTTCAACCTGTTATGGCAAGTGTTTGGCGAATTACAACATATTTTATTAATATTCTTATATTTACAGTTACGGGTATTATTCTAGCTAAATCATTTATTGGTACAGCTAGTAGTATAACATCGAAAGATTTTGGATATTCAATTATTTTATATATTATTATTCATATTGGAAGGATAGTATTGATTATTGTTTTATATCCATTAATAAAATGTACGGGTGTACATTTATCTTGGAAAGAGTGTATAATTTTAGCATGGAGTGGTTTACGAGGTAGTATGGCTCTTATATTAGTTCTTATTGTTAGTTTGGATACAAAAATTGATTTAATTATACGAGATCGTTTTCTTTTTCATGTATCAATGATTGTATTACTTACTTTAATTATTAATGGGACTAGTAGTAAATTCTTGGTGAGAATTTTAGGTTTACATCATGGTATATATTTTATATTTATATGATTTCTGTAATAATTATTCGATTATTTTAGGTACAAAAGAAAGTGATATTGTTCTTTTACAAGCTCTTGAACATATGCGAAGACAAACATCATGGAAATTATCACGAATGAAACAAGATGAAAAATTTTCTGATGTCGATTGGAAAATGTTAAATGAATATTTACCTCATAAATTATTAGAAGAATTAGATGAAGAAAATAATACAACTATACATCGACAATTATCAACAAATACTGATCATGATCTTCCAATATCTTCTAATAGAAATAATCATAATGAATATGAATTACTAACAATTCCAACTGTGTATCAAACAGATTCATTACCAGTTACACCAGTAATTCGAAATAAACATCATAATGATGAAGATACATTATTACCTATAGTTAATATTCGAAATCCTAATGATGAACATGATAAAAATATTCGAAATGAATTAATTATTCGATTTTTAACAGCTATGTCACATGATTATGAAAAACAATGGTATCTTGGAATGATTCGTCGTCAAACTCTTGATATTCTTATCAAATCAATTGAACAAGCCAAACATAAATGTTCACTTCAAGTTCACTGGAAATTAATTGTGGAGAATTTTCAATTAACTATTTTTCTTCGTTTTCTTATGAAATTTAATTATTTTAATTTTATTAATCAATGGACCAATCAATTATTATTTAATCATATTTTTCAAACAATTGAATTAATGTTAAGTAAGTTAATATAAAGAACAATTACAAATGTTTTTTTTTATTTGGATTGAAATTATTTTCATTAGACTTTATTTCGATTGACTGTAGCTGATTAGATTTTACGATTGATTCTGAATATTTTTGTTATATAGGTTTTCATTCTATGGAAACACGAATGGATAATATTCGATTAAATTTTCCTGAATTAGCAAATATAAATGAACGAATAATGAATGAAGTATGTAAAGAAGTAAAAATGTATCAATTAAATGCAATGCATATTCTTCTTGATTTACAACAATCTTATCGACTTTGTTGGATACTTCAAATGACAAGACGATGTGCTCAAATGCTTTTGAAATATGAATCTGTTGCAATAATACAATTATATGAAACTGGAATGTTAGAAGAAAATGAATATTCTCATATATTAGAATTAATTGAAAATAAATTATTTGCACTTGAATATGGAAATGTTAAATTATTAAAAAATCAAAAACGTATTCTTGAAAATCCTTTTGATTTTATACCTTATTTTAAATCACTTTCTCCAATCGAAAAAGATAAATGGAAATGTCAGATGAAATCAAAATATCAATGGTTTCAACCAGGTACTATTCTATTACAAAAACATCAACGAGTATCAAATGCATATTTAATTGTTCGTGGTATTGTTCAATGTAAAGATGATATTATGCCTATTTATTACAAATGCGGTAGTATAGTTGGAATTGATGCATTATTTACTGAACAATCTTTATCACATGGAGTTTATACTGCACATGGTGGACTTGTTGAAACATATTTAATTGATAAATTATTATTAAATGTATTTTTATCTGATGAGAAATTATCTCGTTCTATTTATAATGAAATAGCATTTCATATGATAATGAATAATTATCGAAAATCTTTAAATTTAACTCCTCCACAATTAAAAATGCTTCTCAATGAAAAAGCAATATTTTATAAGAATCAATCAGATTCTTCAATTCATCTTGAAACAAATCAAAGGTTATTTCTTTTATCAGGAGCAATAAAACAATATGTAAATGAAGGAGAAACAATTTTAAATTCTATACATCTCAATATACTTGATACACCAGTCATGTATAAATTAAATTCATCAAGTATTATTTATACATGGTCATCAGATGATGAAGTTTATTGTTCAAATATTAAAAAATTTAAAATAAATTTTTCTAATGAAAATAATCAAATTATCTCTGTTGAACCATTCTATCCACTTTATTTAGGAAACTCAATTGAATTTACTCCACGACGTCATTCATCATCTATGACACGTCCAATAGAAAATCCCAGTCATTTCCAATTAATACCATCAGAAATCGAAGCGAGCAATAGATTAAAATCTCCAACTGAATTTGTTACATTCTAAATAATTTAATTTTTTGTTTAAATATTACATTGTAATTTATCTGTTTCTTTTTTTACAATAAAAATTTTCAATAGTATATTTACAACGCTATCGTGAGCATTTTAGGGAATAACTTTGAGTTAGATGAATATCGAACACATTAAGCATTAGATTACATAAGGATTCAAATTACAGTAATAAGATATTGGATAGTATTAACTAAAGAAATAGATTCAGATTTATGAAATGTTTAGAACGATTGGTCTGTCAAGCAGATCTAAAGAGTTAGATTGCATTAGAACTCATAAGAAGTCTGACGTAGAGAGATTCCGTATAAGAGCCGTTGGTTTGAGTAAGATAATTTGTCAATCAAAACAGTGATTAATCGGTGTAACAAATGTTTCTGAAAAATATTTTTTCTTTAATAGAAATATGTTTTTTTGGCCTTTTTTCTTATTCTATTGTTTTTTTTTCTCTTATGATCGAATCCTTACACGGATGAAGTAGAAGAGCGGCGGAATTACGATAAGAACTTATTCTACAAGAAAAAATAATCAACTTATGAGAAAAAATTAGTAATAGTTTATAATAACGTATTATTTAGTTTTTCATCAAATTTACAAATAGAAAGACGAGTAATATTGTAGGATTTTTAAAAGAAACAAAAATAGACTGTTCTCAAAGACCAATTATATACACGTAAATTTTCTAGAATCTTGTCTTTATTTTACTATAAACATTTGATGAATAGTTTTAGTTCTAGAAGTCAATAAAGAAATATTACATTTATCATTGTAGACTTTGTTGTGACTCATTAAAAACCTCGAATATAAAAAATAACTCATACATGTGTGGTTAACCTTGATGTATATTGATATGATGCATCTCAATCAAAAAATGTTTTAGAATAAATTTTTATTAGTTATAATCTTGATAAATAAGATCCGATTTCGTTCTTACAAGATATCATAACAATATAAATAAAAATAACGATGGCAATAAACTTGATCTTTCATTTCATAACAAGTCTCGAAGGAAATAATGATTCATCTAACATGACAATTTTCGATTCTAAATAATCATAAAGGTATTAAAAGTATATATAACCTATCTTGAACTTTAAATGAGAGTAACTCTCTTGATCGAATCGTTAGTTTTTCGAACAACTAATATATAAAATGTCTTGTGCCTCCTCCAATAAATATACAAATCATTAAAAAAAATACAAAATAAATATTTTGTAAAGTTTTAAAATAGATTTAAATCAATATGAAACTGTTTTTTTTAATTTTATTTTGATATTTACAGCGCCTATTTTTTCTTAAAATCAATAAACAGCTGATTATCAACATATGAAATTTTTCAATTCGTTTACGTATTCGACAAATCATTATCGAAGAGCGCTAATGTCTATTCGTTTACTCTTCAGATATTCATATTAGATTTGACATTCACTGGAAGCAGTTGATTATGGAATGATTGTTTATGAGAGTCAGAATGGAGTAGTAGTGGTATTATTATTTATTTTTTTCTTATTCTATATGTATGTTAATTTTTTTTTAATTTATTTATTCTTAACAAAATATGCTAGGTTACTACTGTCGAATAAGTAAAAAAAAATAAACAAAAAAATCATCATTTGAAGAAGAGAACAAATTCAAGGTTGAGTTTTTTT